CAGGAATGCAGTTCAGAAGGATCTTGACGGATTGGAAAGTCTGGCTGAAGCTAACAGGATGGAGCTCAGTGCTGACAAATGCTAGGTGTTACACCTTTGGAGACATAATCAAAAATACAAATACAAAATGGCTGGTAACAATACGGAGGAGCATCTGGGACACTTGATAGATCACAGACTCAATATGAGTCTCCAGTGTGACACAGCTGAACAAAAAGAGGTTTTGAGATGCATCATTAGAAGCATTAGGAACAAGACATGGGAGGTGATAATGCCTGTCTACTTAGCACTGGTTGGGTCTGATCTGGTCTAGAGTATTGTGTGCAGTGTTGGGCTCCACATTTTAAAAAGGACACGAAGAAGTTAGAGAGGTCCAGAGCAGGGCTGCAAAATGATAAAGGGCTTAGAAGGCAAGTCGTACAAGGAGAGGTTGAAAGAAATGGGCATGTTTAACTTGTAGAAAAGGTGCTTAAGAGAGGACATGATAGCAGTCTTCAGACCTGCCATAAAGATGACTGAACGCCCCCCCCGCAAAATGTTTCTTTCTTGCTGTAAAGAGTAGGATATGGACCAATTCCTTGAAGTTGCAGCAAAGTAGGTTTAGACTAGATATCAGGAAAAACGTTTTCATTGTTAGAATAGTGTGGGAATGGAATAGCCTGTCTAGGAAAACTGTGGACTCTCTATTGTTGGACACATTATTCAAGAATGGGTTGGACAGGCATTGGTCAGGGATGATCTAGCAGAAGCTATGGTTATATTCCATATGGGTACTACCCAGGCTTCTGGGATTTTCTGGTTGCCATATGGGGCTGGGAGGAAAATTTTCCCCCTTCTGCGGCTACATATCAGAGGGTTTTGTAAGTCTTCCTCAGAAGCATTGGAAATGCAAAACTCTAAAACTCTTGGTTCAGAGAGGATACCTCTGAACCAAGAGTTTTAGAGTATTACATTTCTTTTTGTCTCAGACCAACGTGGCTACCAAGTACACCTCAGAAGCATTGGGTGTTTTTTGCAGCCAAGCCTTGGGATTTTAAATGGGGTGTGCCAGTGATCCTTCTGGTACTTAACCCAGGAGGTTCCTGGCTAGAGGGTCTTGCCCCTCTGCTCAGGTTCAGGCTGATCATCATATTTGGGGTCAAAAAGGAATTTTACGCCATGGCCCAATTGGAGTGGATGGTGGGAGGGTTTTTGCCTTCTTTTGTAGCAGGACATGCAGCCCTTTTCCATGGATCTTTTAAGCATATTTTAACAATCTTTACAGCAACAGGATATTGGCTCTCATGGTCTCCCTGCTTTACCTGTAGCAGGTTAGGGTATTATGTCTTGTGACTGTGTCATGGTTGACTGTGTAGTTTTGCTAATTAGTTAGATAATGGGATGATTTGGATTATTTGGATAGCTGATATTTTTAACAGTTTCTTTGCCTCTGTTTTCCTGAACAGGGACCGGGATATCTCACCTACCAGAGGTAGGGACAATCTTGAAGATTATATATGAAACTATGAAACTATGGATAGGGATGATCCTTCCTCAGGCAGGGGGTTGAACTAGATGACCTTTGGAGGTCCCTTCTAGCCCTGCTTCTCTATGATTTGAAGTCTTTTCCACTTTTATTGTAAGCTTTGCTGAGACTTTGTGGGAAGGGTCACAATTAAATCTAAGAAATAAATACATCCAAACCAGCACTAAATTTCTCACATTATATTCAGAGAATGAAATAATATTTTCTTTATGTTAATATAAGCAAATATGCCCTCTATGTACATGGGGCAGGGTGGGGAACAAATTACTCAGTATCTATAGCTGCTCATTCCTGTGTTCAGACTTGTTTGTTTTGTCATTTATATAAATATTTGTGGATACAATGTAGGCACCAGTATTGGACAACATTGGCATGTATAATAATATCATAATAATATCTTCAACTTATATATACCTTGCAACTCAAAGCATATTGCCAAGTCTTAATTATTTAATCCTTACACCATGTCTGTAAAAGACTATTATAGTATAGTACAGATTGCACAGAAAGATTGAATGAGTTGGTTTAGGCCACACAGGTAGCTAGTGGCAAAGCCAAGAGGAGAGCATAAGTCTTGGCTTTTTTTTTCCCTGTTCTAACCACTGAACCACCTTCCCTTAAGGGTGTAAATTCCTGCAGTGCTTCTCCAGCCACAGTTCTGAAAACCAGTGCACTAGCAAATTGAACAAAATCTAATGTTTGGTGTGTAAACAAATGAAAAGGTTCCCTTTTGTGACCGTTCCCATTCCCCATCTTTTTTATGACTCACAAAATAATTTTATTGCATTTTTGAGGGGGCCTCATTTTACAAATTGTACCAGGTCTCCTGTTCCTGGCATTTGATCAACCCAACATTGTATAGGCTCCAATCCTTAGTCCCTGTATATGCAACTGCTGGATGCTGGCCACTAGCTGCCGCTGCTGCTGTTACATTCTTTATAACCTCAGTGTTATGCCCTCAGCTTTACTGTATGAGTGGCTGAACCATTCTGTGCTTAAATAATTCCAAATATATGCAAGTAAATCTAAAACAGATGTTTTCCTGGCTCTTTTTCCCTCTCTGTCATGCTGCTTCTGTAGTTTCTCACAGGCAGAAGTTCAGGTAACTGACACATTTGCTAGTTACATTCCAAAGCAAGGATCAATAAGGGTAGTGTGTGCATAAACACATGTGAGTGTGCACACGTGTAAGTATGAGGAATGGGAGAGAGTGAGCAAGAGCAAGCATGAGCAACAGAGTGTGTGCGGTGCTCTGAACATCTGTTGTACTCAACAATGAATGAACTAAACACTTCTCTGTTGTGATATGTTGCTTGCATGCCCTATAATCCCACTGATATAGTTCAGTTCACTCAGTTCAGTGTTTAGTTCACTCTTTGAATGCATTCCTTTGGACTATACTGAGCACTGACTTGGCAAGCTACGTTGTATGTTGTCTGAGTTACCAGCTTCATTATCTTAAGCTTAAAAATTGCCAAACTAAATTGCATTGGTTGTGACTTAGTTTTTAAACAATAAATAGATGGATATCATGTTCACAGTAAAACAACATTAAGAAACCAAGATAAAGTTTATCAAATGGCAGTGGGAAAAAACTGTCAGAAATAAGGTAGGAAGTATTGAGAAAAAGAGGCTTGCCTTCGCGTCTTTGTAGTATAGGAGCTGTGGGTGTGGCAGACTATTCTAACCACCTACATTAAAAAGATGCCACCCAATCACTGTGTATGTCCTCTGAAAATCTCCTCCCCTCTCATTTTGGCTAGGCTGATAGCCTTTGAAAGACTGCCTGTTTTGGATCACACAGTCTATAACATATAAAAGCTGTTAGCAGCTTTAGTAGTCAGCAGCTTCAAAACTAGCAGAGTTTTGTTCTTTGAGGGTTTGCAATAAGAGACACTCCTCCTTACAAGGGTTCACAACACTACATAGGAACAAGCTGTCAGAGTGCGAGAACAATATACTGTATTCATTTTTGCTATTATACAGAGGTAAGCAATTCAGCTCAATAAGTTTGTGTGCATGCATTTTTTCCAATGTTCATCACATTTTACTGGAGTAAGGAGGAATTTGAATGTCATTACTAAGATGCCCTGCTTTACTGCATTTAATATACTTTGACTACCAGTTTGCCTAGGAGATATTAATGCAAATAGTAAAAGGTATACTCTGGAATGTGATTTTCATTTCCAGTACATAACAGTCTGTGAGATTCCTTGTAGTCTCCCCAGCACAAACTGCTTCTGTGTGTACAGTCAGTGTGTAAAGAGGATACCTGTGATAATGGCATTCATGATAAGGTGGAACTTCATTTGAGCATAGCCACAATGTTAGTAAGATCATATTATGTTCTAAAGGAATAGCTCTAGACTGTTTGTCTGAGTGAGCTGACACATTATGATCATAATGATAATTTGGCATCAAGAAAAAAAAATCATTTTGCTACAAAGATGTAGAGAATCACATCTTCTGACATTTTTACTTCTGCAGATCTGCTGCTCTCCTGATTTAAAGCAGAACAACTCTGGCCTGTCTTCCTTCCCTGACCCCAAAATGACTGTAATCTCTGCAATCAGTTACACTTTTTTATTTTCCATTCTCTGTCAAACAAGTGCAATAGTATTACCCAATTCCACTGACCTATTCTTGTCAAACAATAATTTCACTGACACTGAAGCAGGGTTGGCAGCTCATTTGGACTCTGGAAAAATCCCCAAAGCCAGGAGGAAGCGATACATTTCACAGAATGACATGATTGCCATTCTTGATTATCACAATCAAGTTCGAGGTAAAGTCTTCCCACCTGCTTCAAACATGGAGTATATGGTAAGTTGACTTTGTTTACTTCTAAGGGTGAAATATCTTTTCTTTAGATGTGCTGGAATACATAAGAAGCTATAAATCCATGATTTTATCTTCTTAAGGCAAGCCAACATTTTGTAATGTGATAGGCTGATGATTGTTAATCTATGCATGACTTTCTTTTTTTTAAGGTGAACATTACAATAAATAATAAATAAGACCTAAGGGTTAAATTATGAACCCCTTACCCTGCTGAGCATTTACTTTCAAGAGCAGTCCCAATGGCATCAATGCAACTGAAGTTAATGAGGGTATTTGTGTGAGTTAACTGTTTATGGGTGTGAGAGAGAGAAACAATTGCTGTTTAGTAATTAGAATAATAAACCATGCATCTAGGATCCTGATTATTAATAGTTGCATTACAGAATTACTGAACACTGAAAGCCCAATGCTTAATAATACATATCCTGTTGAGGCTGCTAATCTTTTCTGCATGCTTGCAAAGCAAATTCAAGCAATGGAGTGATTTGTCACATCATTGTCTATTCATTCTATGTACATATTTAATATCTAACTAGCAGGTTTGTTCTTAATCAGGTTCAGTACCTGCTTAAAATGTTTCTCTACATATGTTGAAGTTACATAGAAATTAGTGTGCATGACGTTGTTCTTGTGGTAGGTATGTTTTTCTCTTTATAGGCAAATTCTGTCTCTGAAGTATCTGTCCCTTCAGTGTATATATCTAACTCACTAGTTTTTCATTCATTTGGATTTAATATGTTGTCATAGAGATAACAGCTAAGGCAATGTATTTGCAATATGTTTCAATAGTCTGTGCATGCATACTTAAATGCTCTAATGTTAAAAATAGGCTGGCTAAAGAAAAATACTTTTTTCTACTAGACAATGCTTTCACATTGTTTTTAAAGGGTCATCACATTCTGTATTTGCAACATAATATTCATTTAAAGTCACAGGGGTATAAAGCATGACAACAGATGGTTAACAAGTTGAAGAAACCTGATACAACGCACATGATAAGCAAAGGAGGGATGATGTAGTAGCAACTCATCCTCCTCTTTAGTTGCTGATGACAAACAATTTGGACATCTCTCTGTCACAGATGTTACCTAAATCTGCACTTGATCATGCAGTCGGCTGAGTATGTCCCATGAGCAACCCAGACAGCTGAGGGTGCTCAGAAGCTTTCAGGTCAAGACCTGTAGCGGTGATGCATACTAGCCTTGACGTTTAGTTTAGTGGAAAGGTCAGAGGCAGAAAAAATAAAAAGGTCAAAAGTCAAGCTCAATCATCACTTTCATTAAAGAATTCCATGGTTGATGGGTTCTTTTGACTCTGAATAAATAAACTTAGCTATGATGTTTGGAAGAAGGTCAGTCTCATGTCACCATTGTTGGGCTGATGTCTTTTGGAAATGTGCCATGTAATTTCCTACAATGCAACCAGTAGAAACTCATTTCTAAAGACATTGCCAAAGTATTTTCATATATCCAAGGGTTTTATATGAAAGTAAAGACATTTAAAAAAGGAATAAGGAGGAGGATGATTCCATTCATCAAATGTATTTATTTATTTTTAATTGGGAAAAAATCACACTTCGTGTATCTTCTAGGGCATCAACTAAACATTGCTAGACTTCTGCAGTGGCTCAGTTTTGGAGTGGTAGAGTGATGATCTTGGTCTTGAGAAACTGTTTTTGACAACGTTTGCTGCCCTGCTTACAATAGAATGTATTCGCACTCTAGGGGATGCAGCCATATCCCTTTCAGTATTGAGCAGGTCTATTGGCAAGCAGAGATCACAGTGGTAATGGTGTGCTCCATGGGTGATGTACTTCCTAATGTACTTTTCAGAGCATATTTAGGCAAGAACCAATGATTACAATTCAAACTTTGATGTTCAGATTGTATTTCAAGACATAATCTCCTTTAGTTTTATAGGTCATATTGGGTTGCTGCTGTTTTAATTAGGAGAGGTTATGGTGTTTGACATGCACTCTCACATACAGAACGGGATCTCTATATTATCACTGCTAACAAAGTGTATTTTGCTGAAAGAGCTTTACAGAATGTATAGTGCTATGCCAAGGCCTTTGAAAAATGGCACAGCTAGTGATGAACATGGTTTTTTCCAAATCATTTTCTTATTCACCTAATGGAGAGGGAAAGGCCTGTCACGTTCAAGAGAACTCTGAAGTAGCTGAAAGACTGTTTCATTACACCGAGGAAACATTTTGTTTCATGTAATACATTTAAAACTAGTTTGGAGAAAATGAGAAAAACACATTTTCTCTTCCTGTCTTTGTCCCCAGTGAAATTACCTTTTGCTATCTTTCCCTGATGTCATTTTTTTCTTCTCATCAGCAACCATACCTAATTCCCAACTCTGTTCCTTTTTACTGTATCTCACTCACTTCCACTGATAAAACTTATGGTTTAACATTACAGCTCTGACCATCCACCTATACTTCTCTGTCTCACTCTCACGTGCTTATTTTTCACCTCCAAGCATCTTATAACTTCTCCTGATACATAGGGCAGAATCCTATTCCACTAGTTGCATCCAAATGGCAGTTATTTGGCTGTTATTCATTGTTACTCTGGGAGGCGCTTGGGGGAACAAGGTCTCTCCTGTTCCCCGCTGGTCCCCCTAGTAAGTTTATAGATGGCCACCAGGTCCCCTCTCAGGTTCAACAAGGACAAGTGCAAAGTCCTGTGTTTGGGATGGATTAATTGCATGCACAAATATGCATGGGGGAATGATTGTCTAAGGCTGCAGTACTTACTGTAGAGAAGGATCTGGGGGTTACAGTAGACCATAAACTGAATATGTGCCAACTGCACGCTCTTGTTGTAAAAAAATGACAGCTGGCATGATGGATTGTATTAACAGAAATGTCACTTGCAAATCAAGGAACATGATTCTTCTAATTAGTTTCAGGGGTTTACTTGGTAGCCATGTTGATCTGAGACAAGACAGACATACAAAAAACCAGATGATGGGAACAGCTATGGGCACTAAAATGGCCCCACAGTATGCCAAGCTTTTTATGAGCCACCTGGAAGAAGACTTCCTCAAGAATTGCACCATCAAACCCTTGCTATACTTACGATATATCGATGACATCTTCATAATTTGGAGTGAGAAACTGGAATCTCTACTTGAGTTCCACCAGAAATTCAACAGTCACCATCCCTCCATCCGACTTTCTTTAGAATACTCCAGCACCAACATCCCCTTTTTAGACACAAGGATCAGTATCCAGAAGGGTAAAATACAGACCACAGTATACAAGAAACCCACAGACCAACATACATATCTGCACAGAACCAGCAATCACCCGAAACACACCAAAAAAGCAGTGATATACAGCCAAGCCCTCAGATACCACCGCATCTGTACTGAAGAGAACACCCGGGATTGCCACCTCACCAATCTTAAAAAGGCTTTCACCCAGCAAGGACACTCCTCCAGAGAGGTAGATCGCACGTTTGAAAGAGCCACCTGGATACCACGTGAAGAACTGCTGCAGCACAGAAGAAAAACACCCACAAATCGCACACCGCTGGTTATGACCTATCAAAGGATCCAGACTGTGCCATGACAAGAAATGCAAAACCTGCCCCCACATCTCCACCACCTCCACTATTACTACACCCCACAACAGAGCCATCAGCATCCCAGGATCTTACAGCTGCACCTCCAGGAATGTAGTATACCTCATCCAGTGCACCAAATGCCCTGATGGAAGATATGTAGGAGAGACCAGACAACAACTGCGCACCAGAATGAATGCACACCGGAAATCCATCAAAGACAGAAACACCCAATTACCGGTGGGGGCACATTTCTCACAGGAGGGCCACTCTCTCTCCAATCTCTCAGTCCTGATCCTCAAGGGAAATTTACACAACACATCCCAGAGACGAGCCTATGAGCTCCATTTCATCAACCTGCTGGATACTAGAGATGATGGACTAAACATAGACATTGGATTTTTGATACATTATAATCTGCCTGGCAACTGACTCCCCAGCCCAGCCCCTGGCTTGTTTACTTTTCATTCCATCCAGGAAGAGCACACACCAACTGCTGCAGCTTCCCGAGCCTGATGAAGGGTTTTTGAACCCGAAAGCTTGCTTAATAACTATTCTCCAACCATTTGGGTTGGTCTAATAAAAGATATCAGATTCACCCAAGGAACCTTGTCTACAAAAACCCAGAACTCTTGCTTCGAAAATGATACCTTTTATTAGACCAACTGGAAAATCGCAAGAAAATTGTCCTTTTCTGCAAGCTTTCAGGATCCAATTCCCTTCATCAGGGTCTGGGAAAAATATAGATGGTACAAGATGGTAAAAAGTCCCCATAGGTAGGAAATAAACTTCATTTTTGCACAGAGGAAGCTGAAGATGGAAGGCTGCCCCTCTGAGTCCCTGAAAGTGTTTTTGTGAGCTGTGCTGAGTAGCTCTTTGATATGTAGATCAGGTAGAATTCCTTCCCTGAAGGTGTCAGATGGCAGGCAGGGAGGTAAAAAACCTTTTTTGTTGTTCTGCAATGATGTTTAAAACCGAAAGTCTAAAATCTCACAAAGACACTCTCACGGACCCAGAGGGACAGCCTTCCATCTTCAGCTCTGATGAAGGGACTTTGATCCCAAAAGTTTCCAGAAAAGGACAATTTTCTTGTGATTTTCCAGTTGGTCTAATAAAAGGTATCATTTTGGAACCAAGAGTTCTAGTTTTTTGTATGTCTTCCAATCAGTTTGGCACTGGTGAGGCCTTGCATGCAGTACTGTATCCAGCTTTGGACCTCAGACTTCAAGAAAGATTCAGTCAGACTAAATTGTTAAATGCAGAACAACAAGAGGGGCCTCGAAAGGAAGATTTATGAAGCAAGGCTGAAAGAGCTAGGTATATTTAGTCTGGAGAAGAGAGGACTGAGAGATTTGTTAAGTTTTCAAATATTTGAAGGGTGATTATAGAAAGGTTGGAGATGGGCTT